GAATGCAATTTACCAGTAATTATCAATACATGTTTGATCAATTTCAGACTGAAGAAGTTGCTAGAATTCTTCAATTTCATCATCACTGACTTCAATGTTTGGTGTGTTAATTTGAATTATAGTGGTATTAACTGGTCTTCCTTGTAAGACTATGGATATTATCCTATCACAGTCAGGGTTATAGTTCAAGGTAGATATTGAGATATTCTTTTTGATGCTTGATGTGATTCCTCTTCAATTTGTTATTCTTTGCATAGTAAGCCATATGATTGTCAGATTCAAAATGGCCAATGAGTCCATATCGGCTCACAAATGTCTACAATACTGATCTTTACATATTCCATTGCATTTTTTACAACTTCCAATTTTCCTAGATTAATCTTTTGCTCATGTCATGTTCCTATGAATAAAGGATGTTTACAGCTACTTATTTTCATTTTGAGTTACACCCATCAGCAAATGAAGGTCCTGAAAGCTTTCCTCCATTCCATCATCATGGTCAACTTTGCTTTGAGGTGACAGAAACGAAGCTGGTACAGATGGGGGGGGCGGTGTCAGTGATGAGGGTGTCTTTTCATGTTTGCTCAGGGCTCTCATGTGCTGTAGCAGAATGTCTTCCTTCATTCCGGAAAGGTGACACCAAACTGACCTAGGAGCCAAACCTAGGAATCCATACTTCCAAAATAAGGCCCTCTAAAGATCCAACTGGGAATGGCAGTGCCCATGGAGCTCTGGTAGTGTAGTGGTTATGAAATGGGCTGCAAACCTCAAGGTAAGCAGTTCGAAACTACCAGCTGTTCCGTGGGAGAAAGATTAGGCTTTCTGCTCCTGTAAAGATTTACAGCCTTGGAAACCCTGTACAGGGTCGCTATGAGTCGGAACCGACTCCATGGCACATAACCACCACTACCATGGTATGGAAGCCCAAGCATCTTTTTGTCCTTCAGGTATCAGGCTCTTACCCCAAGCCTGATGGCTCCATCTATTAGCCATCCTGGCCCACAATCCTAACAACCCTTGTAATTTCACAGACTTGGGCCATGGGAAAGAAAGGAAGGAGTCAAGAAGCAGAGATTTGCTAGAGTAGACGCCAGAGACAGAGAACAGGGATCACTTACCACTAGATGATGATGAGGAGACAGGAAGGAGATCTTGATGATGATGATGAGACAGACAGCAAGGAGATCTTTAAAAAGTAGACAGAAGAACTATGAAAGTGTAGCAGCCTAGGGCCATTGCTAGGGCAAACTGTGTTGCCTGCTTCATGGAGTGAGGCTACTCAATACAGCTACTGAGATTCTTAATAGCTGGGTCTCTAAAAACCAACACATTTAGATGAGGACTTTTTGCAGGGACTGCTGTCACCAAGGGTGGGAGGGAAGAAACAGGGTGTTTTTTAAAGAGTAAGGAGGGAGCATAGTAGCCAGTGGCCCCTAGCCACTTTCCTGGAATGTGGATTATCTGTTAGTCACTTTTTTACTTTCTGAGAGTCCCAAATAAGCAAGCCTTCAGCTGCTAACCTTTGGAGGTTCCGGTTCATGGAGCACAGTTCTACTCTGACACACATGGGCTCGCCATGAGTTAGAATGGACTCATGAGGGACTGGTTGTGTTTCTCCCTTTCTTGGGGTACTCCTATGTTCCCCATTCTCAGGCACCTGGTTTGAGAGAGATTGACTCCCACCCTCCCCACTACTTCCCTGTCTTAACTAAATCTCTCCTGAACATCAAGGCCTCTTCTTAAATGCTCCTTCCACAGTAGGGTCTGCCTCTGAACACTTGTGCCCCCTCCTAACCTAAACTCATATCCTCCCTGTTCATTTTTACAACACCCTCTTCTTGTCTCCCATGGTACTTTTCACGGTTGGTAATGATTTGGTTGTTGTTGTTGTTTAGTCTTCCACTTGGCTCTGACTCATAGTGACCTGTATAGGGTTTCTGGGGAACAGCTAGTGGGTTTACACAGCTGAACTGTGGTTCGCAGTCCAGTGAGGATCCTACAGCGCCACACCAGGAATCCAGGTGTAATTCTTTGTTTGATGTTGCCTTGCCAACTCAGCTGTCAGTTCTGTGGGGCAGTTACCCTGACTGACACACTCATCAAGCAAGGCACTGGAGACACAGACACCTCAAATGGCTGCTGCATGAATAAATAAGTCGATTATGACTATTTTGGGGAAATAATCCTCTTTAGAACCAGGCAGCAGTTGGGCATAATGATCTTGGCATTACCAGAAATACATTGGCAGAGCCAGTGGATGATGTTATGGGGTGAATTGTGTTCCACCCCACCCCTAAATATGCGTTGTAAACCCTAACCCACAGTGGCTCTACCAATGGGCTCCAACAGCAGTGATTATGAGATTGATGCAGAATCTTGCAGGATGTCATTCTGCAGTCCTTTGCCTCGCTATGAGTTGGAGCAAATTCAATGGCATCTAACAAGAACACATTTTCGATTAGCCCTAAAGGTAGATAAGGAGCTCTGGTAGTGTAGTGGTTACGAATCAGGTTGTGAACCGCAAGGTTAGCAGTGCAAAACTCCCAGCTGTTCCGTGGGAGAAAGATGAGGCTTTCTGCTCCCGGATTTACAGCCTTGGAAATCCTGTGCAGGGTCGCTATGGGTCGGAACCGACTTGACAGCACTAGACAACAACATAAGGTAGATACTTCTGTTGCTCCCATTTATAAATAGGGAACCAGAGGCATGGAGAAACTAATCTACTTTCAAGTTATATAAACAGCAAGTGGCCGAAGCCGGATGAGAACCCATGTCATCCAAAATTCCCTGGATATTTATTTACTGCCTCATGCTTGACTCTTGTTCAAGGTTAGAGGACAGTGTTTTTTAACTCTTGTAGCTGCTTAGAAAGGAGTGCTGGTGGCACTGTGGGTTAGGCATCATTATTGTTGTTGTTAAGTGCAGTTGAGTCAGTTCTGACTTATAGCGACCCTGTATAGGCAAAGGGCTGCTAATTACAAGGCCAGCACTTCAAACCCACCTGCTTCTCGTCTCAGAAGAAGTAACCCTATATGGGGTCACTATGCGTCAGAATCCATTCAATAGCAATGTGTTTGGTTTTGGTTTTAGAGAGTGCTTCCGATATTGGCAGCAGGTTCAGAAGAGCATTTTTCCAAACTTGACTTATCATTAGAACTCTGAGTGGATGCTCCTTAAAACCCGGCCCTTCAAAAGTAGGTCTAACCTGGAGTTTGTATTTGTAACTTCTTTGACAAGCTCTGGCTGAGTAGTTCAGGTCAGTGGGTTTGGAGCTGGACAGACTCTAGTTTGAGGTGCTGGAAGCTTCACTACTTTTCTAGGTTTTGGAAGAAGTGCAGCCAGAGTGCTCCTTTGAGGCCAAGATGGCCAAACTCCGTCTCTCATACTTTAGACATATTGTCAGGAGGGACCAGTCGCTGGAGAAGGATATCATGTTTGGTAAGGTGGAGGGTCAGAGAAAAAGAGGAAGACCCCCCAACAAGATGGATTGGCCAAGTGGCAGCATCGATGGACTCAAGCGTGGCAACAATAGTGAGGCTGGCCCAGGATCGGGCAGTGTTTCGTTCTGCTGGGCATAAAGTCGCTATGGGTTGGTACTGACTCGATGGCACCTAACAACACCACCACCTTTGGTAGGTTGCTTTACCTTCTGAGGCCCAGTCTCTCCATTTGACAAAGGGTACTAAAGAAAGCACCTGCCTCCTAGGACTATGTCCTTGTTGTTTTTTAAGTTTGGTGGAGTCGGTTCCAACTCATAGCGACCCCTGTACAGGGTTTGCAAGGATCGGCTGATGAGCTTCAACTGCCGACCTTGCGATTCAAACCAACCTTGCAGTCCAGCGCATTAACCCGCAGGGCCACATTAGGAATCTTAGGACTATGGTGAGGACTCAAGTATGCTTTCAACAGAGTGCTTCTGCAGTTCCTGGCTGGTAGTGATCCAGGATGAGGATGGTGACGAAGTTTGGAAATTGAAGACACCTAGTGCTGTTCTGAGGTTGGACCTGGGTCTTCTTACCTCAAGGCTGCCTAGTAGCAGACCTGGGACCCTCCTGCCCTGTCCCTTACCCCCTTAGACAAAAAACAGCATGTATAGCCCTGGCCACTCTGTGCATATAACAGAAAAACCGCAGAGGTGAAATAAACCTTGCAAAATAACAGGAAGAGCATTTAGCTGAAAAAATTTCACCCCACAGCTAACAACACCTGCTTACGCACCCATATGTAACCAATCTGTATATAAGCTCACTTTTGCAAGCACTCGGGGTCACAGTGGTTTAAGCAATAGCTGACAGTCTGTCCACCAGCAATAAAGTTGCTCTCCTGAGATCCGGGACTGAGTCTCTCACTCTGCGCCCTGCCAAAACAGCCTAATAAAATGCAAAATGCCCAATTAAACTGGAATTTCTGTAATGAGACGTTTTTTGAGTAGACATATCTGCTCCTCGGAAACCCTATACAGAGTCGCTATGGGTCAGAATTGACTCAACAGCACTTAACAACAATCTAGCACATATCGCACGGGGCAAACTTATCTAGATCTGTGGTTCAAACCCACCAGCCGCTCCTCGGAAACCCTATATAGTGTCGCTGTGAGTCGGAACCAACTCCATGGCACTTAACAACAATAACAATAATATTAAACAATTATTTCTTGATCTGAAATTCCAATTTAACTGGGTGTCCTCCATTTTCATCAGTTAATCTGGAGGAGGCTTCAAAGCCTAAACCAAAGGAACTCCAATTTGACCACGCCAGCCCCAGAAGAGAGGCCTCCACTCTCCAGGCGCCCCGGTGGATCCCAGAGGAGTCGTTCAAACCCTTAGGTCTCCGCCCCGCCAGACAGGGCTAGTGGCGCCCCGAGCAGCAGAGCCCTGCGTGCCGGCCCCGCCTTGTCCCTGCCCCACCCCGAACGGGGCAGGCCCGGAGGCTAGGCCGTGTGGTGTAACGCCGTTCACTCCTGCGCCGCGTGCTGAGACGCAGCTAGAGACTCTCTCGCCATGTCGGCCGCGGAGGCAGACGGTATATTCCACAGAGCCCGGGGCAGGACCCTGGACGCGTTTTCCTCAGGTACCAGCTCTTCGCCCGGGGAGGGGACGACTCCTAGGCGGCGGAACCTTCCGCTGGGGGAACCTTGCGTCTGGGTTGCACGTGCCTCTAGCCGGAGTGGGTTGTGCTGCACTTGGGGCCAGGGGACCAGAATAGTGGTCGCACCACGTGCCGTCCGGGCTTCCAGAAGTTACGATGCAAATGTCAGAGCAACTACTCCATTCCTGGTGCCACCTCGCCTTGAACTAACCTCCCTGCGAGTAAGGCAGCAAAACGTAGTTAAAAAAAAAAGTTTTATTGTGAATTATGTGATAGTTTACATGGGAGAACATTAGTTTTTACATTCATTCTGTCATACCGTTTCATTGCTATGGTTACAATCCCCTCAATGCATCATCAACCAACCAAAGGGTATACCCTGCAAGCCTGTCCCCGCCCCCCTCCCACTGCCCCCCCGGTCGTCCGCCTACAACCCCTCTCCCTCTCTATGTCTAAAGTCTCCAGCTGCTCCATCTTTCCACGCCATCGTCTCTGCCGCCATCTCAGGCATCACTGCTTCTCTGGGTAGGGTCCAGCTCTCAGCTCTAATCCCTTGATGGTCTCAGGGACCTCCGCTGATTGAAAAGTGAATCACTCCCCTCCTTGCTACAAAACGTCTACCTTTACATTTCCAACCCTCACAATCAGTCCTGATAACAATTATTCACTATTGTATCACAAGAGACCTATCTGCATTTCCCTTCACCAGCCCCGCCTAGACAGATTGGATACTACTCAGTGGAGATTCTACCTTCCTCCATGCCCGCTAGATCTAGGTTCCCTCTTGAAAGCTTGTAAGCCAGTCGCTTCAAAACATAGTTTTGGTGGGCTCTGTTGCTAGACCTGATTCTCAGTCTCACCCTTAGCCACATACTTAGCACGTCTGATGGGTCTCAGTTACCCCGTGAAACGTGAATGACGTGTAAGGTTTTAAGTGACCCTCATTAAGCATTCTGTCCATCGATTGCCTTCAGTGATGATATGGTTTCCAAGTCTGAATCACTGTAGGAACACAGAGCATTGAGATTACTGGGTTTGTTAACAACGGCATCTACCCTTCAAAAGAGGGACTCGCCATCTATGGATTAGGACCAGTCAGGTGAGGCAGAGTTTACACCTGAGCAAAGGTTAATTATAGGAAAGAGGCTTGCAAGCAGAGAGAGGAGTGTGCAATGCAATGCAACACTTAACCCTGTTTCCCAAAACAGAGGCTTTGTTGTTAAGTGCTGTCGAGTCTGTTCCGACTCATAGCTACCCCGTATAGCATTTCCAAGGAGCGGCTGGTGGGTTTGAACCGCCGACCTTGCGGTTGAAACTGACCTTACAGTCTAGAGCATTAAACTGCAGGGCCACAAGGCTTTGCTAGGTTTAAAAGCTTTGGGGTAGGGAAAAGACATCATGTTTATTCAAAGAGATAGGCAAGGATTTCCCGGAAATGACCCTTTTAGGAGGGACCATGCTAATTCATCTTACGGGCAGCAAAGGCTTCTGGTAGTAGCAGACAAAACTTATTTTGGGATGCTCAGCATGCATGGTTCTTTGCGATCCTAGTTCAGACTTTTCCCAGGAGCTGGCATTCTCCTTTAAAGTTACACCTAGAGCACTAGGTGGAATCTTGGTGTGGTGCTGGATAAGTGTAATATAAGCACTGCACAACAAAGTGGGTTTGAACCACAAGGTTAGTGGTTCAAACTCACCAACCACTCCTGGGAAACACTGTACAGAGTTACAATGAGCTGGAACTGACTTGATGGCACTTAACAACAACAGAGCGCTAGGTCTGATCTGTAAACTATCTCACAAGGAAGTGAAAGTACAGAATTTTTATGGATGTTCTTCCTTAAGGGCAAGTCCAATGAAATATGTATTTTCTATGGGTGGTGTTTCTTAGTGACGTGCCCCAAGATGTGTCTGCCCACCTACGTGCCCTAGACGTGGACTGTACATCTTTATAATTGCTCAAGCAACAAGGGGAGCAGCCTTCAACATTCCTCAAGATGTCAGTCACAAGATTTCAGTCAGTACGGAGCTCATATTTGAACCTGGCTTCTGGACCTTTTTTTCCTGTCTCAGACTTGAACTACCAACTTTGTGGTTGTTGTTGTTTTTGTTGGTGTGCCATGGAGTCGGTTCTAATTCACAGTGAATCGGCACAGGATTTCTGAGATTATGAATCTTTATTGGAGCAGAAAGCCTCTTCTTTCTCCACAGAACATCTGGTAGTTTTGAACTGCCGACCTTGAGGTTAGCAGCCCAGTTGATAACCACTACTCAACCAGAGCTCCTTGACCTTGTGCTGAGCAGCCCACAATGCTCCAGGCCTCCTTTCTATATATGTTATATGCTGTTATTTTTTCCCTGAGTTTTTTGCCTTGATGTAATTTATGCTGCATAAATGTCAGAGTCCTGGTGTGGTGGTGTGGGATAAGCACTGGAGTGCTAAGTGAAAGATCGGTGGTTCAGACCCACCATCTGCTCCTTGGAAACCCTACACAGGGTCGCTGTGCGTTGGAACTGACTTGACAGCATGTAACAACAATCACAACCCTGAATCAGTTACCACAACATGAACTGTGTTCATCAGAACGTTGTAGAGCGAAGGCAGTCTAGAGTCCTTTGCCTCTCTAAATCCCTTTTTTTCTGGCCGGCTGGAGGTTGACCTCTGCAGGTGGGCTCAATAGCCTCTGGCTATTGGCTTCAGTCAACAAGGAGCCCTGACCGAGATCAGAGTGAGAAGACAGCCAATAGGGGGTGTTTTTCCTGCCAATTCATGCCCTTGGACCTGTCCTGTTCAGTGTCGTGGAGTCTGTTCCGACTCATAGCAACTCTGTTTAGGGTTTCCAAGGAGCAGCTGGTGGGTTTGAACCCGTGACCTTGTGGTTCATTGCGGATCCGCCAGCACCACACCAGGACTCTGTTCCTCATCTGATGGCCATGCTTCTCTCATGCAGCCTTCATAGACTCTTGAGATTTCAATCACTCTTCTTCCCTTCCTTCTTTCAGATGCAGAAGTGACAACAGCTTTGCTCTTCTCTCTTAGCTGCTTAACTGTTCTGTAGTTTCCTTACACCCACCCTGTTGTTGTTGTTGTTAAGTGCCATCGAGTCGGTTCCGACCCATAGCGACCCTGTACAGGGTTTCCAAGGGTGTAAATCTTTACGGGAGTAGAAAGCCCACCCCAAAATATTCTCTTTAAAAAGCCCTCCTTTAAGTGCCTACTTTGAGTGTGCCAGCTGTTTCCTGGGACCCAGACGGATACAGTGCACTTTACACTGTGTCTGGTCCTTCATTCTAACAGTGCTGCTGTGAACATTCTTGCATAGGTCTGTCTTCTCGTGAGCACGTGGGACGGCTTCTCCAGTGCAAACAAGGAGGGAGGTTGTAGGTTAGAGGGTATCCTCTTCCCCAGCTTGACTGGACCTGGTCAGAATGCCTTCCAGAGTGGTTATACCAATTCCCATGGTGGTGCTAAAGTGCCATCAAGTTGGTTCTGACTCATAGTAACCCTACATAGGGTTTCTGAGGCTGTAGATCTTGGTGGGAGCAGAAAGCCTCATCTTTCTTTCACGGAGCAGCTGGTGGGCTTGAACCGCCAATCTTGTGGGTCACAGTCTGGTGATTATTCTGTAGGGCTACCAGGCTTCAAAAAGTTAGTAGAAAATGGAATTTTAAAAGACTAGAATTTTCCCATGAACTTTATGAAGCCCACTCATCTCCTACCATCAGTGCATGAGAGTTCAGTGTTACTCTGCTCTACCTTGTTTTCAGATCAGGAACTCCTCGTATTCTCCAGAGCAGTGGTGGTGCAGTGGTAGAATTCTTGCCTCCCATGTGGGAAGCCCAGGTTCGATTCCTGGGCAGTGCTCTTCTTGCATAGCTACCAGCCTTCTGGCATTGGTGGCTTGCCTGTTGCCGTTTCAGCAGAGCTTCCAAACAAAAAGGGACTAGGAAGAAAGGCCTGGCAATCTGCCAAAGAAATCAGCCATTGAAAACCCAGTGGAGTGCAGTTCTACTCTGACTCACCTGGGTCACCGTGAGTTGGAATTGACTAAGTGGCAACTGGTAGCTTCATTTGAAGTTTAGGAGCTTCCTGGTACTTCCATTGGGAGGAGTCCTAATGGTTCAGGGGGTTAAGTGCTGGACTGCTAACTGCAGGTTCGGTGGTTCAAACCCACCAGCAGCTCCACAGGAGACAGATCTGTCTGCTCCTGTAACAATTTAGTCTCAGAAATCTTATGGAATAGTTCTCCTCCGCCCGACAGGGTGGCTGTGAGTGGAGATCCACTTGGTGGCAGTGGGTAGGGGGTGGGGGGAGTCCATCGGGTCTGTGTATGTGGAGAAGGTGGCGCTGTAAGAGATGCACTGGATCTCAAAGTCCATCTTTCAGACTCCTCGGAAACCCTATACAGGGCTGCTTTGATTCAAAGCCTACTCGATGGCACTTAACAACAAAAACAAGAACAAGAGAGTGGTTCAGGTGGACAAGCACGGTGATGGCGAGAGATTTAGAAAGTAGCTTGATAGAACACTTACCCTACCTCGATAGGATGAGATGAAAGTGACCCCACAGCCCTTTGACATAGTGCACCTAGAAGTGAGCTCCGCATTTGGTCTCCTCTGTGGGTCAAGCAGTCCCGGGAGGCATGCTCAGTGTGGATTCAGAGTAGGACTTTGCTGAGACCCTAGGAGTGTTGGACTGAGAGCCCCAATCTGAAATCCACCCTCAGGCTCTCTATTGTGTTTGATTCTCTTAGCACTGCTGAGGACTTCGATGGTTTAGAGGGACGGGAGCCTGTTCAGGCTCTGCGTGGAAGTCCAGCCTTGAGTCAGCAGCGTTGCCCCAAGGAGGACTTGCGAAGAGAAAGTGAAGGGCTTGGCTTTTTCCTTTCTCTTGCCAAATGACACTACTTGTCTGTAGCTTTGACGATCCTAATGTTTGCTACAAAAATACCTCCAAGAAGTGAGTTGGCCCTGAGTTTTTG